ACTCCAGAGTTGCATGCTCAAACTCATATTGAGACTCCTAACCCTCTTCAAATTTGTCTTAGACACTCAGTATCACCTCATTCTCTTCAATTTTGTTTATGTCTCAACTTGACTAGCACACTCTTTTTAGTGTGAATGTGTTGAATGATGCACCGTTCTCTTCGATCGCATCATGTCATTTGTCTATCTTGGCATGTATCGAAAAAGTAGTATGAGATAAAAGGCTTCATGTGACTTGCTACTTGAGGCTACAACCTATTATCTTTATAATATGGTTACGAGTACAACAAGAACTTCATTTAATTTGATTCCCTAGCTATATCCCCCAAAGGTTTGGTGAGGATATGTATGTGAACCCTATGTGTATAGCCCCATAAGGGTGAGTTTTGGGATTGGAACTTCGTAAAATGTGTAATAAAGACACCCCTAGCTAGCTTTTTCTACCCAACCTACCCAAATTTCTTTATTTTGGCTAAAGTTAAAATTCTAATGCAGCTAGGGTTTTATAGTCATTCAATTTAGCCTTAAAAACTCATATTAAAAGTGAATTGATTTCCCTTTTTTGTATTAAATTCAATGAACTATAAGTAATGCAAAAACATTTATGGGAGTTAACCCAATTATATGGACTTCTATAAACATTTAAACCAATATAAAAGGACTAAAATGAAATTGAATTCAAATCATAGCATCTAAAAATAACATCTCATTCAATTTCTTAGAATCGGATTCAAAACCTAACAATATTTTACCCCAAAATAAGATCCAAGTATAAGATGGGGTTTGGAACCTAATTGATAATGATCTTCATGAAGACGAACATGATCTTTGGACCAAACTCTTTATTCAATTGATCAACCACTTCACCTGCCCTAAACTTGTAGATTATAAACTTGTAGGTTTATAATATCAACTTGATTTACTATCAACAAAAATCAAATAATTGTAGTTTCTATTGTTAAATTATGAATGCCAAGAGCATTGTCCAAAAATTGGCACTAACAATAAACTCTCTCACCAAACAAAAGATTATTGACATCTTTTTTATGTATGGCTGGTTAGCTAGCTAGCTTATGGGCTTGGGGTTTCGTGGTGGAGGGTGTGTGCTTGCCGGTAGTTGGGATTCAAATGCTTTTTTAAACCAACACGTTTTTGTTTTTAGCAACTCTTGAAATGGACATAATAACATACCCATATCTAGCCTGTTCACTATCACACTCATTAAGTAGCACACGAATTCAATTATTATAGAAGATTACCGGTAATATCTGATGTAGTTTGTGTAACAGCCCAACCTCAATTCGATTATTGTGAGATCCCACGTTGGTTAGAGAGAGGAATGAGACATTCCTTATAAAAGTGTGAAAATCTCTTTTTAGAAGACATATTTTAAAGCTGTGAGGGGGATGGTTATACGTAAAGCGGACAATATCTACTAGCGGTGGGTTTGGGCTGTTATAGTTTGACCGTTGGTGAACCATCCGTTAAACCGACTACTAGAGGGCTTGAAGTCCATCTTGTAAGGAGGCGAGTGAATCTTCAAAGACGAAGGTTGTGCACAATTAATACTATTTGTAAAAAAAAAACAAGCACAATGATAAAATAAGGAATCAATACAAGGGGAATAAGATTTAGATTACCTTGTCGATCGAATATTTTAAGGCAAGAACATTTGATTGAGATTCGAATCACTCCACAAGCGAGATCGATCATGTCTAGCTTGAATGATTCTTGTTGATCAAATATCTCAAGACAAGAACACTTTATTGAAATTCGAATCACTCCACAAGCAAGATTGATCATGTCGAGCTTAAATGATTCTACATGCAACCTAAACTACATAGAATTGCAAAGAAACTTAGCCATTGGCCAAAGAAGAGCACACATGCTTCTTTTACTATATTTTACAAGTCTCCTTACAAATACAACATACAACCCTTTATTTACCCTTTGTATAGTCTCAAAAATGAAACTATTAAAGGTATTCCAAGAGTTTAACATTCATACTCTAAATTACTTGGAACTGAAATTAAATAAAAAGTCTTAAAATACAGTAACTCTAAATTACTCTAAATTGTAACCCACCCAAAATTTATAATAATCAAACTTCATTCTTCTTCAATGTGGCATGAATTGAAACATCTTTGGATAATTTTGACAACCTTTTCTTCACATCTTCATTGAAGTATATTGTATGGTTGATGTCTTTTGGTTCATATTACACAATTTAAAAAAAAACAAATAATCAAATATGTTATCAAAGAACTAAAATTAGTTTTTGACCATCAAATTATGCGTTAGAAATCAAGATGGTTCATATTGAAGATAAATTCTCATGATTTCACTTTTCCTTGTTGTTTCTCCAAAACAACTCGCAGCAAGAGAGATAATGTGAACTACTCTTTTTAATAATAAATTATTGTTTGTGTAATATGAAACAATTTCGGAGATTCCAATGTTGTTGACGGAGCTCCTCAAGTAAAACCTCGAAATTGTTGATAAAGAGGAAAAAAAAAAAAAGAAAAGTCAAACGAGAGTCAAAGGATGGTAGAATGATGATGATTTCAATAGTCAACTGGAGGAACGTGGCAGGTGACAAGAGCAAGACGTTCATTAAAAGAGGAAACGAGGTCATACCCTTCTTCTGGTTGACTTATTCAGCTACTGCTCTTATTAAATAAATGACCATTCTTTTTTCTCTTCCGCCATAAATTCTCTTCACTGTCACCAACTTTCCTCTCACTAAACCTCTAACCACCATCCAATTAAACAAAAGATCAAACACAGTGATGGAGTAGCTGGGTTTCATTTATTTATCCAAATTAAAGCCTTTTGACTTTGGATTAGGATTTGGCACCGTCGGCAGCTTGCATGCATGCATGGAATGGTGTTCTTGCAATCGGAGTCCGGCATTCAATGTTCAAGCTTAGAGTAGTGTACAAGTCATTTAGAACAGTTAAAAGGCCAATTTTAAGGTACTTTCACGCGGCCATTTTGTTTGCAAAATACGAGGGGCGGGGAGGGGAGGGCTTGGTCAAAAGCACATAAAAGGGGGGGGGGGGGGGTTC